TCCAAGTTCCAACATTCCCTGCTCTATGTTCTAAGCTCCCTCCTTGTTCCGACCTACCATGGTGTTCTACATTCTAAGCTCCTTCCTGCCGTGTTCTATGTTCTCAGGTCCCTGCCTGGGACTGGAATGGTGAAGACAGGCCATTGTATCAGCTGGCTTTATTTCCCTGCTCTTCCTTGTTACGAGGCAGGGCTCATTTGGAGAGGGGTTGGAGAGCTGGGAAGGAGGTGACAGGTTGATCTACAAGCACCCCTATGTGGCAGCACCGTGCGGGGCTCTGTCAATACAAAGACAAAAATGAAATGGGCCTGGCTTCAAGGGGTTTACTCTCTATCTGGGAAGCACCATTTAGACTTGGTTGTTGTTGAATCATGCCCATCTCTCCATGACGCATTTGGGGTTCCAAAGACACTGGAGCAGTTTGTCATTTCCTTCTCCAGCTTATTTTACAGATGAGGAAACTGAAGCAAACAGGGTGAAATGACTTGCCCAGGGTCACCCAGCTAGTCAGTGTCTGAGGCTGAATTTGAACTCAGGAAGACGAGTCTTCCTGACTCCAGGCCAGGCGCTCTATCCACTGCACCACTTTATTTCAGAGTAAATACTAGAGTCGGGGTCCAGAGAGTGTCAGGACAAAGGATGGAAATGGGGAGGAGGTCCCTGGCACAGCAATGCCGGGGGCAGGGGGGGAGAATGAGAGCACCGACCTTAGAGTCAGACACCCCGAGTTGGAGCTTGAGCTCGGTCACTTGGGCAAGTCTCTGGCCTCCGTCTGCTTGTCTGTTTCAAAGGGGAGGTTGGACCGGATGACCCCCAAAGTTCCTGCAGGGGAGGATGGGGCAGCTAGGTGGCACAATGAATACAGCACCGGCCCTGAAGTCAGGAGGACCTGAGTTCAAATCTGGTGTCAGATCAAACACTTGACACTTGCCAGCTGTGTGACCCTGGGCAAGTCACTTAACCCCAATTGTCTTAAAAAAAAAAAAAAAGAAAAGAAAGTTCCTGTCAGCTCTGAATCTCTGCTCCTGACCTCCCACCTTTACTGCACCAAGCAGGGCAGAGTTGGACATAGAGAACAGTACTCCTATGGGATTCCTGCCTGAGGCCACCCCCTCTTTCTCACAGGCAATGGGGTAAAAGCAGGCGGGGGCAGCCGCTGACTCCGCAGGGCCTTGGGGAGGACAGGAGGTGAGCTGCCCTGGTGAGTGCCCAGGCCTCTTCTCTGCACTGGCTGCACAGGATGGCATTCTCAGTGGACTCTGCTTATGTGGCCAGTCGATTTCTCTGCAATGAGAGTCTCACAATCTCTCAAAATCACCTCCTTTTATGGAAGTTTTGGATAAATTTTAAATAATCAAATTGAATCTGAAAACTCTGGGTGAAAGGAAGTCAACTCCTAAACAATGGATGCTCCCAAGGGTGACGCTTTGGGTTCAGAAAACCTCTTTACTGATCTAACAAGCCAGGCCTGGTCCGTGAACCCTCACCAGGGGAAAAGGGCTGATCACGCCATACTGGTTTCCCTGTGCCTCCTTAGCACGCTCCTGGGGGGCTTGTGGGCCTCACCTAATCTGGAGGTACAGCACAGGACCAGGGAAACGCCCTTGAAGGTGGACTCAGAGATCTGGCCCTCCCATTTGTCAGCCCTGTGATATGAGTCAAGTATCTCCCCTCTCTGCGCCTCAGTTTCCTCATCTGTATAATGGGGGGGTAGGTGAGCTGGGACACTCTGATTATGCATCTACCCTGCTTGGCCTTGCCAGTGTCTGCCAAGATCCACCACCACCTTTGCCATCACGGGGTTCACCAGTCACCCTCCCTCCCTTGCCCCATATCGAGCCTTGTGGACTCTACTGCCTCAGCAGCTCTCGCATGACCCCTCACTTCTTTCCACTCACAACTGCCCCATCCCATCCCCCTCCCCTACAGGACTGGAATAGCCTCAGCAGAGGTTTCCCGGGATGCAATCCATCCTCTCTCTAGTCCTCCCCATGGCTGCCAGAGTCCCACTGTGCAGCCCAATCACAGCAGCGCCTCACTGCGCCTTCATCTGATGCAGGAAACCCTTCTCGATCTCTCTCTCAGTTTTGTATATGGCTCCTTCCAATGCACTCTACAATGCGGCCAAACCACCCTGCGGGCTGTTTCCTGCACAGGAAAGCTCATCTCCCATCCCCATGCTTTTGCATGGGCTGCCCACCACGCCTAGAATGAGCTTCCTCTCCTTTTTGCCTCCTAGACTTCCCCACCTGCTTCAAGGTTCAGCTCAAGCCCACCTTCTGTGGGAGGCCTTCACTGACTGACCCTCACCCTGCTGCTAAGGCCTCCCTTCTCTGCACCCCCTCATACTCTGCATTTATTTAACATTTATTTGTAAGTGTACCTGTGGTTTCCCCTTAAATAATGCAAGTCCTTTGAAGAAGGGGACTGCCTCATTTGTGCCTTTGTATTCTGGTGCTTAGCCCCAGTGCCTGGCTTAAGAAATGCTTATTGATTGACTAATTAATATCTAATTATTCTCACCTTGGAGTGGTTAGGTGGTGCAGTAGGTAAGAGCACTGGATCTGGAGTAGGAAAGACCTGAGTTCCAATCTGTCCTCAGACATTTACTAGCTGTGTGACCCTGGGTAAGTCACTTCACCCAGTTTGTCTCAGTTTCCTCATCTGTAAAACGAGCTGGAAAAGGAAATGGCAAACCACTCCAGTATCTCTGCCAAGAAAACCCCAAAGGGGTCACAGGGAGTCAGACACGACTGAAAATGTCTAAGTAACAGGTTCACCTTACACTTTGTTCCGTGTCAAGATATTTGTGCACATATCACATACCCCCGAGGGACTGCAAGCACCATTGAATTCACTCCTCCCCCAGCTCTATCATCCTCCCTGTAGGCTCCATTATTTTTATTCCAGGCAAAGCTCAAGCCCAACTCAATGAATGACCTGGGTCCCAGTCTACTGACTGGGTTTTAAGTAACCCTGGCCTCTCCCCTTCTGCTGGGCCCAGGGCTCTCTATAAGGAGGATCTTAATACTTGTCTAGTGACCAGAAATGGAGACAGTGGCCTCTACAGCCCTATAAACGGCACAGGACAAGAGATTTAGAGCTAGAAGGAGCTCAGTGCTCACTTAGCTCAACTGGCTCATTCTGCAAAGCAGGAAACTGAGGCACAGAGCCAGGAGGGTAAGTAGCAGAAGGGGGATTCAAACCCAGGTGCTCTGATTTTAAACCCAGTGTGCGCTCTCTCTGTCTCTGTCTCTCTGCTCACTGGCTACTCCACCAGGCCACGTGTCATCTGTGGGGAAACCACAGCAGGCATAAAGGTTCCCCGAGGTGGGATTCCTGGGCAGATGAAGCACCACCCCAGCCAAGCAGCCCTTTAAGCGCTCTGGAGCCAAAGCTTCCTGAAGCGGCTGGGCTCAAGCCTCCACTCGCTCTCTGGGCTCAAGCCTCCACTCGC